TCAGCATCTTCATGAATCGAGTCTTCGCAAAACTCGATCGTCATTGCTTCGATTGTCAGAACATTGTATTGAAAAAATGCGCAAACAGCAAATTTGTGATTAATTAATGAGAAAAGTTTCTTTTTACTTTTCCATATTTACAAATATTATTATCATTGAGATCACGTTAGGAAGCAATTAATTGTGAAACGTAAACAAGCTTTAATCAAGTAATGAAAAGCAGGAGAATCATGACAACCATGATAATGAATTGAATTAAACCTACAAATATCATAAATACACAAATTGTTTATCATATTGAGAAGCAACAATCAATATCATGATATGAAGAATATTTTGCTTCGTTGTTCTATTAATAATTTCATTTAATTATAGATTAATAAGTGTAATTTAGACCTTAAATGTTGGATAAGATGTACAATTAACATTGATCAATTATATGTTTGACTGAATAACAAAAAAACTGGAAAATATCTCTTTTTATTTTCTTTGTTAGTTAAACATTTCCTTGTGCTTAAATGCTTCTTTGATTGATCAGATTCGTGAGTGCAAAAGTGACTCGAATTCGGTCCCAACACGAAAAGCTTAATAATAGATAAGCAATTGAATTTTGTGTCAATTATTTTCTACTCATTTAACTGTCAATATAATTACTAGGTTTTGGATCATTAACCGATAATCAAATGTAATATCTTTGTTACTGTGGAACAGGAAAAGTCAAAACAAATTTAAAAAGTCAACTATTTAGTTACGAGTGTAGACTTACAAACAGATCAAAATCATTGACAAAATTTTCGGAAAAAATGCAAAATCAAAGCAATATCTTGAAGTTACTCCATAAGCAGTTAAATTTCATGAACCGTTTGTGGATAAACAGCTCTAAAAGTTATGCAAACGAAAATTTCATACCTGAACTGAAATTCCAAAGACGATTTTGATAGCTTGCAATGTTTTGATCGATTAGTTTAGAATCTAGAGACGATTAAAAAATTCGTTATTGAACATTACATGGGTAACGCTTAAATCATGATAAATTTAGAAACTTTCAAGATTCTGATAATTTTGAGCCTTTGTTAGTTAACCTAGAAAAATCTTCTCCACTAACTTTCCAACAAGTTTTGAGTTAACATGATTTTGGTGTTTATTTGAACATTGATGCTAAAACTGAAAGGATTGAAATATGAACAACTGAACATTTGACAGGTTACTAGAAATGGCGAGAATGAACAATACAGATTTACTATGAATGAGTGAAAATTAAAGAGCAACTTTTCTTTGCTGATATAATCAAGATCAATAACAGCAACAATGAAAATGATTGATTAGAGTAAATTGATTGAAGCTTTCACTTTATCCATTTGAATCCCTTTTCTTGGTTTGCCCTTTCATTGTAACCCAAAGATGAAAATGAACTTTAACTTTACTTACTTTACTTATGAATTTTACTTAAAAACTTTTGTGTTTAACAAACAGCTGAAAAAGATAAAACAAATTAAAAAGTTGATTGAAAACATGAAATGTTTCAATTGAAATAGCTCACAATTAATCATCAGTTAATCAATTTGCTAAAAAGGTTCAACGTTGAACATTGGAATAAAAAGCTGATGGTAAATTGATAAAATTGGAAACTCTTGAAGTAAACATTTTTCAATAAACATTTTCTTTTCCAATGATATTTACTTATAATCCAGCCTTTATCCATTTCCATCACTAACAAGATTAATGTAAACGACTTGACCCTTGGTCAACACACTGCATTAGCCTCAAGCTGTATGCTAATACTGACACTAACTGAATGATTCAACACTCGATAAGTTATGAGTCTGAAGTAAACTTTTTTACCTTCCAATGTGATTACCGTTGATAAGCTGATTCAAAGTAAAAGCAATCTTCTTCTTCCAATGAAACAAAAATATCAACTTTTTATTTCCAGGCAATTTTATCAATTTTATCCAAAAAATGGAATGAAATTTTTTAGGTGAAAAAGCAAATTTTTTCTTCTTCTTCTTCTTTTCATTCCTATGATTATACCTTTATTCAAAAAGGTTAGGTCAGATTCTTGTTCACATTCTGTGTGTTCAACAACAAAAAGGTAAGTAAACTTTGAAACTCAATGAATCAAAGGTAATGTAATCATGCTTATCTCATCACATTTTCATTGCTATTCAATGTATATTTGTATGTAGATCTTTTGGATCTTAAATTGAATTTCATTCAACATGCAATTCTTTCATATATATTAGGAAAAGTTACAGTAAAAAGATTTTCATTTCATTCTTTTTTACCTTTTTTCTCCTTTTCCCATTTTCTTTTCTTTTTTTCCTTACCTTTCACCCAAAATGCTCATCATCAACATCACAAGTCGACAAGCAAATATAATAAACACATAAATAGTGTTCAATATTGTGCTCACTTTGGCTTCATGATATTCCATGATAACTTTTCTGCTTACATTTCGCCAAAAATTTTCTTTTCAGTAAATTATTTACCCTGAAAATTACTGCAGTTCTTATGATTTTCCTTTCATCAGAGAACTTTAAATTAAATTTGTGTTTGATTGATAAAAGTGTAAACTTATGTTAAATAAATCACATTCAAATTAATGTTAGAGAATTTCATGTTTTTCAGTTATTAAGGAAAATTTTGCATGAAAAGCAAATATTTCCAAAGAATAGTTTTTCTGAGCAATTTCATCACACAATCTGAACATCTTGATCAATTGAGAAAATTTGATTTCAACTTATCGATACTTTACGAAATGCTATTTCAAAGTTGAACTCAACGTTGAACTTTTTTTATCATATTAATTTCTGTATCCAATTGATCAGAAAAGATTTCACAAGAAACTCATGGAATGATCTTAAAGTTTTTCTACTCAATCCTTGATTCAACTTTGGTTCTCTAACTTGGTTTAGACAATTTATCAACTTAAAAGGTTAGATTACCTTTTCTAGAATCGAAACCAATTCATATTTATCGACTGAATTGATTTCATGACCATTCAATGCTGTCGAAAGTTGAATGATCGAATGTTCGAATTTACTGAACCCAGAAAAATTCTTGCATTTTGATTGAGAACGATTCGATTTGATCCTAAATCTGAGCAATTTCGGTATTCGATTTTTTCTCTCAATCGATTTTGCATAAATTTCTCAGTGAAAAACTTGATCTTTATTAATGATTGACTGAAATTCCTAAAATGTTTCAGAAGAAACCAAAATTATCGTGACTTACCATAACCATCCTCTGCACTTAAACTGCAAATGAGCAAAGTTTTTGAATATTGAACGGACAAAATTGAATAAACATTAGCATAAAATCATCAATAAACTCAAGTCATGGACTGATTAAAATTCATTTACAAGTTTCCAAAATTGAGTCAAAATTGAATAGAAACTTGTTCATTGGTCGCCAAGAAGCAAACTGAAATTTAATCAAATCAAGTAACCATTAATTAATTGACTGACACAAAAATATGAACCCGAAAAGCTGGTAAATGTAATAAATGGAGGAAAGAAAATGAAGGAACAAATTAAATTAAATTGATTGAAAAATATTTTCAAGAAAATGTGAAAAAAAGAAAAAAGACTAAAATAATATGATAAATGTTGGTAAAACAATCTGAAAAATTATCCCAAATGACTAATGAAGATCGTAAAGGAAAGAGGGAAAAAGCAAGAGAAAGAGTTTCTCATGCAAAGTTAATTTGTTTCAATGGAAAGGTGAGTTGCTGAAGAAGAAGAAAAAAGTTTAAATCAAATGCAATATTTTTCAATAAAATTCATAGCTGTTGGTGAAACAAGATGGAAATGAATAGATATGAGCGTAAAAGTAGCCAACAAGAGTAGAATCAGCCTGAAGCATTTGAAAAGGCAACAACATTATTAATAACATGAAAACATGGAAACATGAAAAGGTAAGCAAAAAGAATATTGAATTTTGTGCGAAAAAAGAAGCAAATTTTGGCCTCAAAAGTAGCCCAGAATGAGTTATTCATTAACCTTTTCCTGAAAAAACTGAAGCAAACATCGAACCCAGAAATAAAGTAAACTCAAAGTTGAACCGAAATTCAAAAAATGAACATTGATTTGGATTCAACCTTCCTTTCCAATTCACCTTTCACTTGAAAAGGGTATTAAGTTTCATGAGAAAAGTTGGCAACTTTGAATCAAGATTGCATTGTTGGAATGGAAGAATAATTTTCATTAAAAATATCATTTTCTAGGTAAATAAAGATATTATTAAATGTTATTAGAGTTTTGCTTTCATTATTACAGACAAAATGTTTGAAAGTTGAACATCAATAACAGTTCAATGAGGCAAACTATTGGTTCCTTTTTTGTGCCCAAAAATGTATATAAATTACTTTCTAAGGTCTCATAAATTTTGCCTCAATTCAATGGTTATTATTATTATTATTACATTTTGACTCTATTTTTGTGTGCATTAATATTATTCCATATTCAATGTTGGTATCAAAGTTGAATGTGCAAAACATTAAGTTAATTTCAATTCAAGTCAAGCAAATAAGCAAAATGTTGAAGAGAAGCAAAAATTTAAACTTTTATTATTTTTCATTATTCGTCAGTATTCTTGGTTAATCTCATGATTTATCGATCTCTTTTGGCAACTCAATTGAATAAAGAAATTAAATGTTAAAAGATTTTGTAAAAAGTGAAATCTGTTTCAATGAACAGCGAAAAATCAATGAACTTTTTTTTCTCTTCTTCCTCATCTTATTACAGATTCTCATTTTTGTTTTTTCTTCTTTTCTTTTTTTTTCTTTCCCTGTTTTCCATGCATTTCTGTTTGAACCAGTTTTCTGTTTTTGGTGAAATGCTCAACTCAAATGAAAACTCAAAATGCAATAAATTAAGTTTAATTTAATATCATTTCTGTGTGATTTGGTTGGGTTACACAGTTGCCTAAGCAAAGAGGTTTTTTGCTCGTCTATTTGTTGCCTTCAAACACTGAATGTTAATTTTGATTAAAAACTCGAGTAGAAACTTTGAGGGCAAAAATTTGTTTATTTTGTCTTTTTTTGTATCAGAATTGTTTTTTTCCAGTAAATCAAAAAAATGAACGACTAGGTTTTTATTTTACACTTTTCATGGGCATTTGTCCACTCAATTTTCACAAGTATTTTTCAATTGCTTAAATTTTTTATCAATAATTAATAGCAAAAATATCAACTCCAGTAATGGAATTGTCTTTCATCTTTTGTAATAAACTTCATTGAAATGTTGGCTTTCATCGTCTTTGACGTCTTCATGGTTGTCCAGTCTTGTCGGCTAACAGGCCAAGGTTAGGATTGGTCAAGTGAAACTTGCTTCCTATCTGAGTAATAGATTGGCGATCTGAAATGGAACAAAATTGTTAGTTTAATTTTATCTGAAGGTAAATGAAAAGAATAATGAATGGGTTAAGAACAGTCTGGGATGAAATATTCATGTTGTTATTGAATAAAGTAAATACACGAAGATTGAAAGATTTAAATTATCGCAATTTAACCCAAACTCTATCAGATCGTAAATTAATATGACAGTTTGATTGAAAATAGTAGACTTTAAATGCGATTTGAAATGTAGAATTGAACAGTTGAAAAACAATTCTTGATAAACTCGCTCAGTAAAAAGATAAAATCTGAGTATTTTAGAGCAAATCACAGAGAATTGAAAATTCAATGAAATTTGTAAAAATCAAGATTCGTTGATTGGCACTAGAGCAATAATTTTTGGCCTTTAAAGACAATTTTTGGCATTTTGGGTTTGAAGTTTATTGGTAAAGAAATGAAAAACTTGATGTTGACATTTTTTTATTAAAATATGGTTTGAATCTGCATTGGTTTGTGAATGGAAATATGAAACTTTGTTGGATTTTCTTGAAATTTTGTACAACTTTTCATCTTTATTTTAACATTTTGTTCCCTTCATTTCTACTGCTTTCAAGCTTATCCTTTGCCATGTCAGTTTCATTATATAGCTTTCGTTATTTACCAGTTGCCTGACGAAATGTTGAGATGAGATAAAAAATTTCAATTTGATAAAGAAAAGTAATTTTTCTCTTCTTTCATTCACCTTGCTTTGATAATCCGAGTGCTTAAAGTTTTTTTTGCTCAAACTTAATCTTTTAGGAATGACATATTGCACTCACTCACTAGTGATCATTTTAAATTGCAAAAAGATGACGATGCAAGATCAAGAGGAACAGTTCAAGAGAACACAATTTCAACAGTTTTTTCAATCATAAATCATCATTCTTTAAACATTAGCCAATGATAAATGACCGTTAATTTTATTTAAGAAACATTGAGATTACTTTTACCAAAAATCAAATCAATTCAGTGCTCAAAGGTAAACCAAACGACAATGGCAATAATTTTACTTGAGACAGGATCAACACTACTTGAAAAGCATCAGAATCCTGAGTAATCTTTCCAATTAAAAGTATTTCTATAAATTGCAAATCGTCCAAAACTGAAAAAAGTAAAACTATAACCAAAATCATTGAAATTAAACCAAACTCTTTTCTTAGTTTTGATAAACTTTCACTAACTGATTTCATGGAAAGTAAATGATGCAAAAATATTCTGACATTCTTATTCTTCTGCAACTTGGCATATGAAGAAATTGTCATGAAAATGATTCCATGTAAAACTGCGATTCTCTTATCAAACATAATTTTTTCATGTTTCATTTGACTCGAAGCTTTCCTCGACTAAGACAAGATATACTTGGATATTGCATTATTAACATGTAAAAAAGTAAACTAAAAATACAAATAAACCCGTTGAACCATTTGAAACGTTTAGTTTGGGAAAGAAACAGAACATGATAAAACAGTATAACGAACAACAACAATATCATCTCATTTTCCATCATCATAATCATCTTCATCTTGCCTGAAATTTCAAGTATTCCCAATTTTCAAACTCAATAACTACTTATGACCTTAAAATGACAAAAAATGTCATTTTAACTTCATTCTTCTTCACATCTTCATTTCTTTCCACTTTCTTATTGCTCTTCATCTTTGCTTATTTTTTTCCTTCTCTTCACTTGACAGCCCAATATCTTTACTCCAATATACAGCATCTCACTCCCATCCAGTTATTCACCCAATTTTATCATCACCCTTTTGCCACTCTTTCCTTGACTTTACCAAAAACCGAAAGAATGAAAAGAAGGAAAAAAATCATCTCAAACTTACAAGATAAACTTCAATATTGTTGAATAAATTTTTTTCATTTTCACAAAATTTTATCAAAAGCCTTTTAAATCCTTTCAATGGCAACAAAAGTGTGCATAAAATGTGAACCTGAGTTAATCATTTTAATAACTCGATAACTTTCACTCGAGTTTTGTTTCATTCAACAAAAGACAGAAATGATTAAAATGTTGTTTTCCACATTCTATTCAACATCCATCATCTCCATCAACATCATTGAAAAATAAAAGCGATTAATAACTTAATCATCTTTCGACTATTGATATAATAATCTGGGAAACCTTATCTTAATTGAAATACAATTTTCCCTCCCAGACACTGTTAATGCAGCTTTACACTTTTAATTTAACCAGAATCGTAAGTTTCATTGTTAAAGTGAAAATGCTCATCACATGTTTAAAGTATTCAAGTGTTTCTCAAGTGTTCAACAGAAAATGTCTTGACACTATTAACATTTTTCTAATGGTTTTATATTCATTAATAAATGTTGCTGAATATGTGAACCATTTTCAGATTTCAATATAATAATGAAAGGAAGAAAAGTCTAAAAATGCATTTCTTTTTTCACTTTTCTTAGTCAATCAATTATCTTGTATTTTTGCCTTTTTATTCACAACAATATTTGTGACTTTAGCCAAGTTTAGCCTTCTCTTGTTTACCAATTTTTATTGTCATCAAACTCATGAGTTGAACACTTTAATATAATAACATCCAAAACTGCTGGGAATGACAAAAATGTTGATAACCTTTTAAGAAAATATGAAATAATTTTCTTCGAGGTTCACATTTTTTGACATAAATGGCTGAGTATTTTATACTTTCAATCAAATTATAAATTACTTAACTTAATTGCGTGTATTTCTTGTTCCATCAAAAACATGAACATTTCTCATCGAAAAGAGGGAAAAAGAGTTTTGATGCTTACCTTGTGGTATGATAGTAATACGAGTTTGTTGGTCCAACTCTGGGTTGTCCAATGAATGAGTAACTATCTGTGGCTAGATTAGATGAGATGTCTTCGTATTCATGCAAATATATTGGAACTGGTGGTGCATATGGACTAACTTCGGGCACTAATTGTCGTCCAGGTGCACCCACTTGACCATTGTTTAGTCCACTTGTTGGTCTTCCACTGGCAAGAGTCAAGTTTGCATGGTGAAGAGATAATGTTTCTTGAGAAGCTCGTAACACGTTATTTGATCCATCATTCATTGAACGGGAAAATTGTGATTGTTGCTGTTGTTGGTATTGATGAGGGTTTAAGGTTGTTGTATGTTGATGTGTGTGAAGATGATTGATATTGTTATTAACATTTAATGTGTGAAGACGAGATGATGAGCAATTTGATAGGGATGAAGTTAATTTAATTATTGGACTTGGTGGTGACATGAGATGGGATGGATCGAGTGAATAGAAGCAAGCAGTCATTGGAGTTGCTGTTGAACCTGAATTGGTTAGACCATTGACCGTTGAGAGTGGACTCATTGAGGAAGGCTCAATGTTGGCCGTTGAACCAAATTTAAAACAATTTGGAACATATTTGTTTATTAAAAGCCATTTACGGACATTGTGACGAGCGCGGCGATTACGGATAAAAGTAATTGTACAAACGCCGGCAGCATTTGATACATTTAAAAGGCTAAAAATGATGGTTGCAATGACATTGGTTGCTGGTGAAGTCAGGTAAATGTTGAACATTAACCAGAAGCAACATTCAAGTAATAATAAATAAAGTGTTGGCTGCCAATTGTGTTCCAATTGACGATGATGTGAACGATGATGATGATGATGGTGATGGTGATGATGAGAAGGTTGAGAATTATGGTGACCATTGTGGTGAGAATGGCGAAGTGAATGATGTCGATTATTTTGCTGTTGATTTTGTTGAGCATTATTGGTGTAACCCGATTGTTGAATAATGGCAATTCCTGATGAATCGGTGACATTGATTCCAGTCTTGTAGTCAATTAGACTGCCTTGGTTGGTGTGATAATGGCTCGGATTGCTTCCATAAATGGGTAACCCAGTTGACTGAGTGTTGCCCATTGAAGCATCCTGACCTGAAGGGTTGGTTGAAGGTGTTGAACTTGGACTCATTTTACCATAGATTGTCAACAAGACGAGAAGGGCAGTGAAAAAGATTGATAAAAAGGTGGGCAAAAAGACCCAGAGTGAGGTTTGAAACAAGATGGATGAGGGTGTTGTTGATGATGTAAACCAACAATAAGTCATTAGTAAGCTGTGCGTTGTTGAACCAGTTGAACCCGGTGTCAGACCGCGATAGATTAATGTTGGTTCTATAAGAAAACTAATGCCTATGGTTACTATGGGTAGACCATAGGTAAGAAGGTAAAGAGTTATAGAATTTTTTGAGATTAAACTAAGGGAAGATGAAAAGGTGGGCTTATTGGCAGCGGCATTGGTGGTGTTGCTGTTGGTCGCCGGGTTGTTCAAAGGATTGACAATGTTGCCGGTGGTTGAGAGAGTGGACAAAGGTGATTCCATTTTATCACAGTCGAGGTGAGATGAAAAGGCGGTTGTTGATGATGAAGAGGCTGATGAGGTGGCTGAGGGTGATGATGAGGAAAAGGATGTTGATGAGGTTGCTGAAGAGGTGGATGATGATGATGATGAATTGGTTGTGGCTGTGGGTAAGGTTGGTGAAGATGAAGATGAGCACCAATATACTCGAATGGAATCAATTAAAATTACATTGAAAATAGCCTGAAGTAAAAAGTGAAGTAAAATGCCAACAGTGTTGCATAAGGGTGACGATGATTCAGTCCATGGCTGAAAGCTGATAATGCACAGAATGACACTTGACAATATCAATATGAAGCAGATGTTTTTGTAAACAATTTGACGGTGATTTGTTATCCTGTAAAAACGAAAAGAAAAAAATGAAAAAAATGAAAATACATTCTCAGACTGGAAAAGTTGAAAGGTGAAGAAAACTGTTCAATTCAATTGAGATTGATTTGCAAAGTTGATTTGTGAATGTTGATCACTTTTAATCAACAAAATTCCTTTTTCTTTTACTCTTCCTTCCTTTTTTTGCAGCAAAAATTGTTGAGTTGCTATTCATTTACAATAAACATAGGAATGTTCATCTGATGGATTTGAATATTGAAGAGTAAAAGGAAAAGTTTTTTTTCTTTTCACCTAATTTTTCCTAAATTGACATTATAATAATCAATGAAATTTGCATTTGCATGTTGAACAAGAAAAATGCAAATGATGGTGAAACTGAAAAATGCAAATGGCACTAATTGATGACCAGAAAAGGTAAAAAAGGATTCATGAAAAAAAGAAAGATAAGTTTGAAGAGAAACTTGAAAATACCTTGAAATGATCAACAGTACAAGTGTTATGCTGTAAATGATAATGGCAATGAGTGATGATATCGATACAATAACTAGCAAATTGGTTGTTTGGGCACGATTGGTTCGACTCGAGTTTTCAGGTAAACTTGAGAAGAGTGAAGGTGATTTGGATGACAAGGAGGAACCATTTGTTGAGTAATGAGTATTGGATGCAAAACTCCAAATCGATCCAGGATAACCTGAATAGTTATTGTCGACCGAATCAAGTGTATCATGGATTGAATGTTCATCCAGTGTTGAAAGTGTAGTCGATGGAAGTCGAGCTTTCAACCAAGGTGGAAGAGTCGTCGTTCTCTTGCCATTGCTATTTAAATTAAAATTACTATTGGCATCGCCATTGATTCCAATACCCTGTAGATTATCGGACCTCTCATATGGAGGAGCCAATGTTGTGGTTGTGCTTGTACTTGAGGTTGAACTTGTTCCCGATGAGAGTTGATGCAACGTCTTGTAAACACTCGGCATTGGTGTTGTTGAGGGCAACGTTTTACCAGTGATTATTGATACTTTTGGTGGCCTCCAAGGTGCTGAGGTTGATATGGTTACTGGATTATTCATGTTGCCTGTTTCGCCATTCCAATGAGTAGATGATGATGATCGGGTTGTTGATGAGATATCACTTGATTTCCATGAAGGTGGAAACATGGTTGATGTAAATGTACGTAAATTTATTGAGCCACCAGACTGAACTGGAGGTAAAGTACTACTAGTTCGAGTAGTACTTGTTATTGGCACTATTATGGGCGGACGAGAAGTCGACGACAATTCATGTCCATGATCATCGTCTTGAGATGAGAAGCTACCAGGTTTGGCTTTTGATGATAACCAGGGTTTACCGTCAACTACTGATTCTAATTGTGAGAAAAGATAAAAAAGGATTTCGTTAAAAAAAACTATTTGACCTTTAAATTGAGCTTTTGCTTTTGCACCTTTAAGCTAATAAAACTATCAAATTGTCACCTTTATCAATCTGACAAAACTGGAATAACATGGAAGGAAAATGAATTGCAATGAAAATTTTCTCTGATTTTATTCCTTCATTACTTTATTCATCATTTCCGTTCATTTTTTTATGTCTTTTCTGTCTTTCATTAATGTTTCAAGGAAACGGAAAAAATATAAAATTCAATCTAAAAACGGAAATAAAAAAATGAGTCTATTGATTGCTTGTTGATAGACTTTTGCTTTTGTTTCATTTCTCACTTTTTTCAGTTTTCGCTCATTTTCGCACACAATGAGAACTAATCTAATTTCAAGAAAATATGAAAACTCATTTTTTGCCTATTTATTTCTTCCCTTCAATTACATCTTTCGAGTTGGTCTGATTGTTTTTCATCGACCACCAAAGTGAGAGTAAAGTGAAAAACTGAATTTCCACTGAAAATGGGATGAGAAGGTTACTATTGATAAATGGTTTTACACTTTAAAATCATATTGACCCAATATTGCAGCACAATTGAAATGGTTTCAAGAAACCAAGTTTTATTGGAAAATAAAAGTTCACCAGAAATATGGTGAAAAAACGATGAAATAAATTGCATATTCTTTGCAGATTTGATTTACTTTAACTTTTCTTTTCATTTCAACTCTCAAAGTGTTTATCAAGTTTCAATTGGAATATAAAAGATGCAAATTTTCATTGCAATAAAACTAATAAAATGCACAAGAATATCAAATGGAACAACAAATTATGCAAAAAAGCGCATGTTGACCTTTTGCTATTCATGTAAAAAAAGTCTGAGTTGAATAAGAAAATGAAGCCAAAAAAAGGATTCCTCAATGTTTTTAATTTGCAACAGAAAACATCATTTCCAATCAATAAACTTGTCTGATAAATTTTCCAGACTTTTTCATGAAATAATAAACAGAATTTTCATCTCAATAGATTTCTTCTTTCATTTGTAGGTGAAAATGTTGATTATTTCCAGTGAATTGTTATTATCATTATTACATTACAAAGTTCATGATATACATGATGGAAGAAGAGATAAAAAGTTTTTCTTTCTTTGTCTCAACCAGCATCATAATTATTCATGATATACTGTAAATTGAATTATGAAGGGAATGTTGAGGATAAGATAACCTTGTGGTAATGGAAATATATTTAGCAAAGAATTATGATTATCATGATTACAATTTATTTATTACTTCTCTCTCTTCTGAAATTTTGTGCATTTGATTGAAACATTTCAGAGGATTACATTGAAATGATGAGAATTGTTCAAATGGAACAATCAAAATGATAGTAAACTTGCGATAAAAGTTATTGATTTATTGCAGGGATTGATCATCATAAAGAAAATTTGCTTTTTTTCCTTCTCTTTTCACCCTTCAAACCAACTAATTAGGTAATTATTAAGTGATTGTTGGGATTCAAGTTTTTATTGGATTCAAAGTAAATGAAGGAAATGGGATTAATCGAGAATCTATTTGGATTAATTTGTGCAAATTGTGGGTTTACTTTGTGTGTTTGTAGGTGAACAAAGCAAATATACTTTATAACATAATGAGCAAGATTATTGGCAAATAGTAAATCAATGAGTAATAATCATTATCATGAGTAAGATGAGAAAAAAAGGAAAAGAGAAAAAAGAGTTTGATTGGAAGACGAAATTGAATCTAAGGTTTGAGCGATATTCTGAACACTTCTCTTCATGACTAACCCTTTTGTTCACGTGTGTGTTTTCATAATGAATCATCTTTGAAAGGTGAATTTCGAGGTTGATTTAATTTAATTGAGGAAAAAGGTTTAAATAAGATTTACTTGAGATGAAAAAGATGTACCAAAATGGGAGCTTCTATGCAAAAAAAAGGAAACCGCGTTTTCAATCATTTTTCATGTTCACTTTGTTCATCTCATCCTACCCTTACGAGTAAATCTCATCTCTTATTTATTCCTACTTTTATCATGAAGATGAGGTAAAAAAAGGTTCACAAAAGAGAGCAAAAGATAACGAGAAAAGTGCAACATGGAAAAGCAAATCAGTTTGAGCATCAAAAATTTACAAGGTAAAGATTAAACGAAGAATAAATTTTTTTCTTCTTTTTCATCTTGCGATTCTTTTTAATCTATATCATGATGATGAGCCGAGACCAAATATGTTGACTACAAATGAAGAGCAAATAAGAGGATAAAAGCTTTGATCATCTCTTTTTTTTTGTCGCCATCTTCATCATCACTCCTTCAAGTTTGCCCAAGGACTTGTCTCAATGTTATCACCAACAATGAAAAAAGACAGAAGCAACAGAAAAATAATAAAAATAATAACCAATTGCCTGGGAGTTTTCACTCCCAAAGCGTTTGGACGATGAACAATTGTCATATAAATGAAACAAGACAAAGAGACATTTCTTTTCACCTTCCATCTCTTTCCTCATTCTCATCCTCTTCTGATTTAATAATGTTGCCATGAAAGAGTTTCTTCTACCAATAAATCTGAAGGCAGATAAATAGACAATCGCACTTGTAGTAAAAGTTTCAAGATGAAAGCGTGTTTATTATTCCAATCAATGTCAAAATGACTTTTATCAATGATGGATAATATATATATATACATAAATGTATAAACACTGAACACTAACAAATTGAGGAAATAATCTGTTCAACTGTTATTGGAAAGATGAGAAAAGAGAAAAATGAGAAATAATTGGAATAATAATGAAAATGAAAAAAAAGATGAAACAGTTATGATGGATGCAAAAACTGACGGAATAAAGAGAAATGGTAAAACATTTATAAGCATCTTTTTCACGCTCTTTATTCACTTTGTCCAACAATAACAGACTCTTGAGATGATTTAGTTTTCCAATTGAATACAAGGACAACATTCAACTTGGTTACTTGAGAATCGAGATTACCTATAGAACCTTTCGAAGTCTAGATAAACTTATCATTATTATCATTTTCGATATTCGAAGAGAGAATGGAAAAGGAAAATATTTTCTCTTTTCAATGTTACACTTTTCACAGAGGATTAAGCCTAGTCGATGGATCAACATAATCATTATTGAAATGATCATTTTGGATTAACATTGTTATTACAATTGTTGAAAGTCGCAATTAAACTGAGAAGGAAAACTCGCCTGATCTTAATCTTTCGAGTCGACTTTCATTTTGTACTCTTTTCCCTCAGCTTTTGATATTAAATGATAACTTTGTCTCTCTGAAGATTAATCATTCTGTAAATTGAGATTTCCTTTTATCTCAACTTTTTTTCTCTTCTTCTGTCAACATTTCACTAAATCATAATCTTTACTGATAAATCTGGCAAATGTAACATTAAGAGCATATTATATCATGTACAACAATCATGATAATTGGTTTGCAACATTTCAGTCAATATCATTTTCTTGATCGCATTTGAATATTTACTGTTGATCAATTGACTAATCATTTTCATTTTTTGTCTCTCACTATTAGTTTTGCAGGTTACAATTGGACAAGTGAATTAGTTGTTCAAGTTGATTATTGAAAGAAAAACATTGATGAGAATAAAAAAAAGACTATTCAATATCATGAAGAGTCATCAATTGATCATTATGCTTTGGTGCTGCTGAGAGACTCTATTGTGTTACACTGAAAACAGACAACATATCAAATGAACAGCAAACAAAAGAAGTACAACAGTAAATGAATTAAGGACAAATAAAAAACTACTCAATGAACTTGATAACAAATAAAGTTTAAAATGAGAGCAAAGAAGACAAAAAAGTAGACAAAAACGTTAATTAAACTGTACAACCTACTAAACTCAAAATGAAACTAAAAAGGGTTAATCGATCAAAAAATTGGACAAAAAATCAAACTCAAGAAATCCAAATACTGAAAGGAATCATTGCTAGGAATCGCTGAAAGACACAAGTAAATCAAGATTTTTGTATCGATTTTTTTTGCAAGTTAAAGTATTTTCTGGTGAAAATGATGATCGTTTAAGTTTGATTTTTAAACAATGGATCTTCATCTTTTCAATTAAAATGACATTAAACTTAATGGTCTTGATGAGATGCTTTTCCTGAATCAATTCACTTCAAAACTCGAAAACTATCGAGAAATTTCAATCTAAAGTAAATCAAAATTTTTATTTCAATTTAAATGATTCTATCGATTTTGTCGAAACAAGATTATTGAATGGATTGATGAATGTTTATCTGATGTTTCTGAATGAAGAATCAAAGATGATTGAATATTTCTTAGGAAATTATCTTAAAAGTTTTAAGTTTTCTTTTATGCTTTGCTATTTTGAGAAGAAAATAAATTTTAAAAAAGTTGATTTTATCTGAAAGTTGAGGCACAAATTGAAGGAAACATTGAACACTTTAACCATCTATTTATTGAGTTAAGGTTGGGTTAGATTAATGATTTTTGATCAATTTGACACTCTTAATGGGACAAAAATGTATATAACCTGTGAAACAAGTGGAAACATTGACTTGATTTCAATAGACAAGAATAATGACAACATTTCTAATTGCAAATTGGTATTGATCAATGTGATTAATGAAACTGATGAAAGAGTCCAACCCATCAACTGTCCCTCAGCATGAGTCTAATCATTATGGTTATCCTGATGAAACTGATTATCAAGATGTAAACATGCCAATATAAGGCAAAATCCAAGTCATACTTTGATTGATATCATTTTAACATTTGTCAAGAAACCATCAGGGAGGTAAAAAGAAGAAAATATTTCAACTCTTTTTTTTGTTCTCATCTCTCATTATCACCATGGAATTTAATTTTCATTATCATGTGACCCTGTTATGTCCTCAGGTAAAGATTGATTGTTGAAATAAATTAGATTGGGAAAAGGTAGAAACTCAACAGAAGAGTGAAACATTTAAGGTTGGCAAAGAAAAAGATATCAAAAGATGATGATTGAAAGTAACAGATGAAAACTATTGGATATCAAGTTTCATTTTATACAAAATCTCAGTTTTCTTCATTGACTTCATCAACTTGAACATGTTTCCTCTTCTTATCATTTCAATTCCAAGCTCAAAATTCAATCTTTTAATCTTTTCATTTTCTTTTTTTTCTTTGCAGTCTTTTTAGTCTTGATTCCTTTGCAACTTTTACCTTCATCCTGAAACCCGAGACTCATCTTTGCTTCACTTTGAGATTGGCTTTGATCTGAAGAAGTTCACTTTTCTACTTTTCACAGTTTATGAATTAACAACTTTTTCTTTCTCGTTAACATGAAAAATGTTTCCATCTCAACTTGATACAAATAAATCTTAATCCGTTTCAATGGAATACATTTAAAGATTTTTAATCTTATTCGTGTTTCCAGCTTAAAACGTTTGTTGACAACAAAACGGATTAAAATAAAATGTCTTTTAGTTAAGCCGAGTTACGACAAAGTTTGCTAATCAACTGCAAAAAAAATATTGCTTTTATAATCAATTATTTCGCATTTTGGGAAAATTTCAAAATAAAAATGCTTCAGAAATTGAAAAGTAATTAAAATCGGCAACAAAAACTCATTACTGGATGGTTTGCTGTTAAAGTGTTAGAAATAAAGTTTTACCTTTACATTGATAATGAACTTCAAGATATTTAAATGTTAGTGAACAAGGGTCATCAAATATTTTACTGGAAGCCGGAACTCGACAAGAGTTTCGCTGACCACATCTGAATTTACATTAGGATTAGTGGGTTAAGAAAAGAATGAAAATGTTAGTTTGAAAGAAAAGATCATTTATAGCAATAAAATATCCATTGACCATTCCAATCAGTAATAATGATGTGTTGATGAAATTAGCAAGTACTCTTGGATATTACATGAGAGCAATTTAGATAACTGTTTAACAAAGGTTATGTTCAATAAACGCAAAATAAATGATGAAGGATGACGAGCAAAACAAAAGGTGAAAATAATAGAAATGGCGAGCAAAAGTAAAGCGTGCAATATTGTGTCCAAAATTGACACAAAGGTGAAGGGAAAACAAAAAAAATACAAACCTAAATGTTGATGGATAACCTTTGGTAAACAATCGTATTGCACTTCGAGGTACTTATAAGTTCCTGGGCAATGATCTTCAAAAATAGTGCTCGATACAGTAATATTGCATTCTCGCATTGAATGGCATCTATAAAAGGATCCAAAATGGTAACAAAAATCATGCAAAAAAAAAGAAAAATAACCAAAAATGAGAAAAAAAGGAAAATGCAAAAAAAATCAAAAGCATGCAAAATGGACCGAAAAATTGGGTAAAAAATTGGAAAAGTTGAAAGTTGTTATTGTAACCTTGAATGCATTTCATGATTATTTGTTTCATTGAAGCAAAACTGGCAAAGTGTTGATCAACAATTGATTATTAAAAAGGTTGTAAATTGAAAGTTTGGAAACAAGCTTTAGCCATTTTAAATGAATCATAATTTGAGAATTGTTTTCTCACCTTTTCACATCATTCAACCTTTCACTTCATTTATTGACTCAGCTTGACTCCCCTGAGTGATGAACGGATAAACCATTTTGAAACAATCAATTGATATTTTCTTTGCGTTTTGCTCACCACTTTTGCCTTGTTTACATTTACATAATGCAATATCATTTGCAAGCAAGTTATTGTTTTGAGATGAAAACACGCAGCAAGGATGATGAAAAGAGCTCAATGATAATGAAAGATAAAACACTTTTTTCTCCCTTTAATCTCACTGTTTTTTTTCTCGCCTCAACAAAAGCATCATCATGAATATCATCATGAACCAGAAGAAACAAGAGTTAATGCAGTCTTTTATCCTTTCCTGGTTCATTCCTTTTTTTTTGATATTATAATTATCCTTTGCAGTCAAATCACAAGAGCATTGAAAGCTCAACATTTTTTATCATTACCATCATTTACATGAACAAAGTGTGCCAACAAGACAAACAGAGAAACTCTCAATATTTCAATATTAGAGGAAAGACTCTTCAAGTGATAATATCAAACAGTAAATGATATTAATTTTTCAAGGGCAACAGAAAGCAATAGTCTCGTGGGCAATCAAGTGCACATATTTGTCATTCAGTGTGAAGCTCAACAATATCAATTTGAAATGAATCCATCAACTGATTACCTCAACATTAAGCATTTTCCCGTTGATCCCACTTCGCTCTCAGCTTACAATAAGGTTTCCCGCTTTTCCCTGCATTTCCATTAATTATTTAGCTTTTTCTCTGACATTTCATTTTCCAATCTGAATATGTACAAAACTGTTATCCATTTTATTGGACAAATATATCAATTTAAAAAAAAAGTGAACAAGAAAATTGTTCAAAATGAATGTTGCCTAATATTAAAAGATCAACAAGCTTAACGCAATTTTGGGTTAATGCAAAAGAAGCACTATTTTTATCACTAGTTTATTGTTACAACCAACTGGGAGTGCAAATATGATATTGAAACAGTTTGTGCGATATTATTGAATAAAGATGAACAGAAAATGTTGCGCTATTTTTTATTTCGCCAAAGTCTGGAAAGTCAAAAAAGCTCTTGTTTGCCTTTCAATGTTAATATGGTAATATCACTTTTCAGTGTCTATTCATAAGTAAACATTAACAAGAGAGCAAAGAAAATGTCAAACTGGAAAAGGCAACAACAGGGAGAAATGAAAACTTTATCCTGCAACCTTTTCAATTGTAATTTAATATAATTTAAGAGGAAAGCTGATCATCTAGTCTTGACTCGGGCTCGGGCGTGATGATAATAAATACTTGACTCAACCTTTCAATAGTAATGTTTCAAGTCGCATTGTACAACAGATTTTTGGCAAAAGAAAAGTTGAACAAAACTAAGCTTTGAAGCGATTAACCAGATTGATTGATTGCAACAGTTTACAAATTACAATGTTAGTCCAGAAAGTGTCGCAAAAGTGACTAGTGATTATAACGATTATCACTTGAAATTATCAAAATGCATTTTCTTTATTCACTCAATTTAGTCTCTTTTTTTTCCTCTTCCATTGCAAATGATTTACAGTTAACCTTTTCTCATGTAGTAATGTTCACTATTGATGTGCTTGCAAAGGATAAGTTTGGATAACTTTTCTCGCCTCTTCGAGTTTGCAAATTATCCAATGAACAAAAAGATGATAAAAGATGAACTTTTGAAAACTGCAAATTACTTTTCTTTTCACAATTCGTGTTCAATGGTGAATCTCACTGTTATCATTCAATCTTACGACTGCTACTTATGATGAATATAAATGAACTTTTAATGCAGTCATTGTGTATCATGGCTTGTACTCATCTTTCCTGTGCCTTCATCATCATCATCATTTCACTTTTGTTCATCTTCTTCTTTCCCATTTTCTTATTTAACTTTGTCTTACGACTTTTCATCATCATCTTCTCACTTGAATGAACATTATCTAACTTTCATTTTAAAAGTCTACTGTGTTAACCAGTAAACCTTGTTATTCACTTCATTATTAAAACCAAACTGATCCAAAGCTTTGTTAGTTTTTTTCCTTCTCTTTACTCTTCCATTCCCTTCTTCATTATGTCATCATCGCCATCATCATAATCATTAAATTCATTGAGCTCTCAATGTAAGCATTAGTTAATAACATGGTAAAGAAAGAGAATTCATTTTCCATTCAAAGCAACACTCAATGAAAATTTCAACTCACAAAATGGCAAAAAGAAGAGCAACTTTTTTCTTCTCTCGGTTTCAAATTTTTCACCTAATTAGCCAACAACTAGTTACATTTTCATCATCAATCTCATGATAATCAGTAGAAACAGAATCAGTCACAAAAGAGCAAAATTCAACATTCTTTTCAGTCAACAATGAATCCAATTTTTTGATACATTGACTTGTGTAAAGCAACTAATACAACAACAAACTATCATATTTCAGTTAAACTTTCATTATCAATTTTCAATCTTATTGTTTCGTCAGGCAAAACTGTAATGAAGCAAAAATAGTTCAAAGTTGATCTCATTTAATGAAGGTTAAAGATGAAAACATTGAAAGGGATAAATTAAAAGGTTAATTGATGGAGTTTCAACAATTGAAATTGAAGCTGAAAAAAGAAGAGAAAAGTTAACTTAAACATTCTTTTCCGTATCAATCAACTTTGATTCCAACTGTTAAACTATTATTTGATTGGCAAAAATCCTTATTCATCACTGATCACCATCTTAACCTCCTCTTCATCCTCAACCTCTTCATTTCTTGACTTCTCCATCTCACCAAACGCCCATTTCTCTAATCTTTTAGATGAATATTGAAAAAAAAACTTCTCATGTGATTAATCAGATAACTTGTATTATTTAGCTGCAATATTTTCTCCAAGTCTTTTTTAATTAAGAATATGAAAAAAGAATGAAATGATCGACAATAACAAACTCTGAAAATCTCATCATTTCCATCATTCTCTTCATCTAATTGTTTATCATGTCAAAAGTAATCAAACGATGAATAAAGAAGCTGTTGATTGGACCAACATTAACCGGCACTTGGACAGCAATGGAATCACGCAGAGTTGATAACTCATCATCTTCCTACATTCAGAATTAATGATCAAAATGGAAACTCATTTCTTTCCTTTCTAATTAAAATGTTCAACATCTTCAAGAGAAAAGATTGAAACAAAGAAATGAACTTTGCTCAATTGACAGATAAACATTTGAATGTTGGAAAAGAAGACGAAGAAAAAGGATTCAAAGTTAACAAGCAAAAATTATCATCAAATCTTGCCTTTTAATCATTCTGCTAATTAAATGGCAAAGAATAAAATTGATCTCATTATTATCACTCTGTATGGATATTATCATGAACCAATGGAAATGATGTTTTCCTTCCTCATTTGTAAATATATTTTTACGCTTATTCACAATTTTGTTTTTCCTTCGTATTCTTTTATCTGTTTAGGTAAACCTTTTTTTTCCTCTCATCAGTTCTTTTCATCTTTTACCATGATATTGTTATTGTTGATAATAATTCATACCAACAAATATACTTTAAGAATGGAATCATTTCTTCTCTTCTTTTTTCCATCTTTCCAAATGGTTTATGCACAATAAATATAATTCATAAGATTTGCATTATCATGATTTAACCATGTTTTTCCAAAATCAACTGAACAAGCAAAGATGAGGGAAAAAAATGATGATAATAATGCATTTCATGGGGTAAAAAATGGATTAAACTTGTGCCAGTAATGGAAAAGAAAAAGGTATTCAGACAAATATCATGGTAATTCTATGAATAGAAAGATAAAAAATGCGAGAAAATGGTGAAACAATAATATTGAGAAATGATTAAACATTAAGTGTGAAAGGTAAAGAGGAAAAACTGAAAAGACAAAATGATGATTATTCCGACAACTTGTAATGGAAAAGAAGAAAATGTTGAAAATGATGAGAATCAGGGGAAACTTAATGAAACATTGATTATTAATAAAAGATAATTTTAGGTTAACAGTTGGTTCAATGAAAGATGGCAAAGTATAACTTGACAAAGATCATTTTTAAATGAAGAGAGAAAGGAATGAAACAGAAAAAATGATAAATGATGAAAAGAGCATATCATGTTGATATTGATGATGAAAATGGTCGGTGAAGATGGCGATGGTGATGATGATTATGTTTATAAATGTTCTGATTATTGTGCAAAGAGAAAGAGAGAGAAAAGAAAAATAAAAGTAGCTAATGAAGATGGAGAAAGGATGATAAGTTGATGATGTTGAGCCTGAAATGGTGAAGAAAAATATTATACCTTTAAAGTTCCGGTTCAACAGAAACAAAAAATCCAGGCTATAAGAGTCACTATTCAGAGCAAGCCACACCTTAATGACTTTCCACTGGATGAGGTAATTAGTGGCATATCATGGGGAAAGATTGCCCAGAGGGACCAGAGAGAAGAAGAAGAAAGGAGAAGAAGAAAGAAGAAGATGAAGATGAAGAAAGAAAGATCTATTGCTCTCTATCATCAGGTGAATCTAATATAATAGGCTTGGGAATAAGAGGCTTGGTTAAAATTTTTGCTTTCTTCTTCTTTTTCTTCTTCTCTTCTTCTAACTTCATCTTTCTATGATGACTATAATTTTACAATCTTTTTCAACAGTTTCTTGTTTTCCTTTTTCTTCTTCTTCTTCTTCTTTACCTGGCTAAAATTTACTCAGATGATGACGATGGAAGAAGCTAACTACTTAGGGCTTGGTTTTGCTACTTTTTTGCACTTGACTTGTTCACCTTGTTGCTACTTAAATAACGTTGTATTGTATGAAATTACAAACTTTTTTTGTTTCTTTTTTCGCTCCATTTTGTTTCTTTCTGATATTTTTTTTGTTTTGTTTTTTGATAAAACTTTTTCTTCTTGATTCATTTTCGCTTCGCCTTTACCTTTTTTTTCCTTCCCTTACCTGCTTACGATTTTACCATTAATAATAGTTTGATTCAATTTTTAACCCCCTGAAGATTGTTATTACATTTTTTGTTGTTACTTTTTTTTCCTTGCTTTCTTTTCGTTGTTATGGTATTCAACTTGAAATTTGGTAACCAGATGGTTGGTAGTGTTAATTTGAAGTTGAAGATGCTTCTTAAGAAGGCAACAAAAACATGAATCAAAAATGATGATCAACAAGAACATGATTATGGATTCTCTCACTTTATTCAGGTTTATACTCAAACTTTTCATCATTACCTTCTTGCTGTGTTTGTCATCTCTTACAAGGCAAAAGCTTAAGTGGTAACGATTTTTCCGATTTTTTCGGGCTTATAATGACAATTAAAAATAATTAGACTCTGATTTTGGCTCTTGATTGGCAAAGAAGCGTTTTCAAGGAAGATTCACATGCATGGCAAACACCGCAAAGTGATCATGCTTTTTCATTAGAATTTTGTTTTTCTGCTATTTTCATGTGCTTTTCATGACTCAAGTACACTGCTAAGTTTACTAAAAAAACGCTCAAATATAATAAATAAGCAACAAATAACACGGTTGCTTGACTAAATTTTGACCGCGACATTTTGAATTTCAAATAATCTTGAAAAATAAACAACATTTAGTCATTAACTGAAGTAATTTTTTGCGATTTTTCAGACAAAACTGTTGAGTCACCTTTTGTTGACAAAAATTTTGAAAATTAAAATTAACAGAAAATATCATTTGACTGAAACTACATTTATACTAATATTTTTTTCTTCCTATCAGCTTGACACTTGGCCCTTCTTCTTAAATTTGGTATTTCTTTCACAAATGTAGCTGTCCCTCTCGATGTTGACGGGCCTCCACTGGACTCAAGGTGAGTTTACATTAAAAACGTTTTCAAAAGGTCCAATAAATTTGAAAAAAAGTGTCACAGAAAAAATTCCAAGCTTTACTCTTAAAATAGACAACTCTTGTTCCAAAATCAGAAGCCAAGATACGTGCTCAATTATTTTTACTGTCTACAATATAAAGCCGAAAAATCGGTAAAAATTGTACCACTTAGGGACCTTCCCTTTTTAGGGTCAATGTTGAAAAAGAGTTAAGTTTATTACGGTTAATTGGATTGGTCAACTTTTCAATGGATGATGAAAAATGAAGTAAATTTTACCTTTTAGAGATAACTTCATAGGAATGAGGTGAAGTACAATCAACTTTCCAGTCAAGATTACCATGGCTATTACAAATTGAGATGCTGTATCGTCCATAATTGGCCCTTATAAGGTGTATCAGGTAACCTTCATCACACTTGATCTCCAATATTTTATCCTCACAAGCATAAACAGTTTTATACCTGGCAATATTATTATTAACAACACTATTTGAACTAATATTGTGAGTCGATTTGAAAAATGATGAAGATACTGATGGTGATGATGATGGTGAGTGTGTTGGTGAAGGTGATGAGTGTTGAGATGTTTCCACGGTAATAAGCACAACATGATCAACAATTGAACACAATAAAATAAAGATGATCCTTAATCTGGACAAATGAACACATAACCAATCCATTGGTAAAATCATTGTGGTAACTTGACCATTTCATTTGCACATCAACATCAAGAAAAGTTATCCCAAACAGTGTAACACTGAACAGCTTTAAAGTTTAACTGGTGAGACCAAAGTGTAATGCAGTAAGAGAGAGACCAAGAAACAAGAAAAATTTAGGTTCCATTTGGTGGAAAGACTCACTCAAGGTGGCGCTGTTGGCTAACAATGCCATCTAGTAAATGAAAAAACAACTATAAATTTCTAAATCGCTGCGTCTTAGGAAATGACAATTTGTACTTTTTTATTGTGAAAATAGGCTCGGAGACTATTTTTGCTCGAAGAACTATTGTACAATCTCATGTTGAGCTCACATTCAGAGTTGAATTGAAGATATTTTAGCTTTATTTAATTATTGCAACACATATAACGAGTCCAAACAATAATTGTTGATTTAACCTTAATAATCAAACACTACCAAAATTTTGAACTTTTTTGGACTTGAAATATTCTAATGGGTCAAATGTGAACCTTTGTCAAACCTTTTAGACAGAAAATTGTCCATCACCCGTAAAGTCACATGGTGTCAAAAATCAATTTTTGCTTAGGTTAAGCCTATTAAATGCATTGTGCATCGATTAACAAACATTTTATCATAGACTCATATTACTTGCATTAAGCACATAAACCTGTAAAAAACAACTTTGATCAACATCAACCCGCAACTAACATGACTCGGCATCAGCAAGTTCAGAATCAGGATCATCTGTAGCTTTTAAATTGCTATCTAAAAGACTTGAAAAAGGTTTTATCTGACCCATTAGAATATTTCAAGTCCAAAAAATTCAAAAATTTTGTAGCGTTTGGGATGCTTCTCTTGTAAGTAATAACTTAATTTAACCCGTGTGTTTTAAAATTCAGCGTTTGAATGAAAAAATTGAAGGTCTACTCGACAAAAGGATGTTGATCAAATGAACACAAATATTGTCTGAAAACTCTTTTCGTTTTTTAAATATTGTAATTATTATTAATACATCAGTAGCTCTAAATACTAGTCAAACGTAAGCCAACGTAGTCTGAGCAAGCGTTTAAAATTGTGACATTATTTACATTAAAAGACACAAAAACGGCATTTTTTCAATTTTTCAGTCAACTCTCTTGAGGAAATTCAAGGTTACTCCTTTCTGCCCTGCATACATATGTGTTGCATCTTTTACAGAATTTCATCGGAATCAATTCTTTGGTTTGGCCGCAATTCTCAAGAGGAAAGATTTTTTGGGCAGCTTAGCTTAGTTTAACTTAGCTTCGCTCAGGCTAATTACCGTGATCGGCATCAACCAAAGGGCAAAACAAATCTACCGCCAGAAGCTGTTCTTTTAATGAAATCAAGTATTTCCTATCAAAGAATTGAATCCAAAGAAATAATTCCTCAGCAAAAATAGGCTTTAATTGGACATCTTAACATGGAACATGAAAATCTCGGAAACGGCTTGAGATACAGATGTACAAATCGGTACAAATCTAAAGATTAGCCATAAGTTACACAGAAATTGAGAGTTAAAGTGCGTCATTTCGAGAGCCATTCATAAGAAACTGTTCAATGTAAACATTTTCACCTGAAAATAACTTGAGATACAAATTGAAAGAAAACAAATTTTCCTTTTTTTAATTTCTGTTCAATTGCACCTTTCAATATCAGGCAAAATGATGAGTGATAAAAGTAAATATAGAATTGGAAAGAAATGAAATTGAAATTGAAATTGAATATACATTTTCTGTGAGTTTCAATATTTTGCGCTTTTCCAAACCAATAGATCCAATGAAAAGAAGGAAAAGTTTCTGAAAACTTGCAAATCAATTACACTAGATAAATACTTACAAACCATTTTCATGGGTCGATTCTTCCATTTTCAGTTTACCTTTTCATTGACAAATTTGCATACAACTTTACAGCTTATTTGCTTGCAAATTGTGCAACAAACCTTTCACTTTCAAGCAACTTGCCAGAGTAAAGTATTATCACAACAACAGCAACAATAAATGATAATAATGAAAGTTTGCTCCTAACAACATTCAAATCCATTCCAAGTAATCTTGTTGATTCAATTTTGGATGAAGAAACGAGCCGAAAAGAAAAGGAATAAAAAAGTTTTCCGTTTTCATTGACAAAAAGTAAAGCTGCAAATTACATTTCAATTTACGATTGAACAATCAATAACGTAGGATGGAAACTCGAGATTTCCAATTTTCAGAAACATTGCCAATTGTCATAGCTGTTGACAGTTGAAATCATTTTCATCATCATTCTAATCATCAACATGATTATCATCATTAACTGTCAATGGGAAAAGCAAGTTTTGTTTGTCATTTGGACAGCAATTTTGGAAAGAAAACAATGAATAAAAGAAAACAATTTTTTTAATGAACATAATTGGTTTTTACAATTGCAAGTTGAATGACAAAAAATAAGATGAAACAGTGACCCAAACCTGGCAATGATGACCTTAAAAGCCAGTCAATTGTAATAAATGAATCATAATATGGTTAATGGTCAAAACCAAGAGATCAGGTGAACACAGAAGAGACACTTTTACAGTTATGTGTGATGATCATTATGTTGGCTTCTCATGTTGATTGCCTGTAAATTTCATGTAACCTTTTCATTTTAAATTATTGCTTTCAACAATTTCATTGTTCGTTGACTATTCATTTGTTGTTTAATGAAACCATCAATGGACAGTTGCGAGTGTAAACGATTAGTTATGCTGACCATTTGGTTGAGCTGTTCATCATGAATTATCTCGATTTAAACATTTAATTCTAATTGAAGTTGAAAAGTAAATAAAGATTGATTGGAAGTGAAGCAAATTCAATTTTCAATTTTTCATTATTAACTGATTTAAATGGGAAAACAATGAATGCGAAAGTTCAATTGGAATGATCAAGTTTTTGTCTTTATTTGAAGAAATCAATTGACTTTGAGGAAAGTTTGTTTTGTGCGAATTGATGATAGTTAAAAAGTAAATCAATTCAATAAATTAACTAATTTTTGCATTTTAATCACCATTTTAATAGCAATTTATTCAATCATAACTTTGGGTCAATGAGAGATTAACACTAAACTGGATCAACTAGAAATCAAATAAACCGTTTACTATCAAGTTGACTCTTCAAGGTGAAAGTTAATTGAATGTTTAATTAACTTTTGATTGCGGAAAACCTTTTTGATAAAGTTATCCAAGCTGGACAAGAGATGAAAGAAGATATCAATTTGGATTAAACGCGATTAAAAGATTAATCGAAAGAATAGCATTTTGTTACAATGACAATGTAAATCAATTGTCGAGATTAAATGATAACTTAATGATGACAATTTAGAGCGTCTTTGAGCAAAGGAATTTGCTTTTTCATGTTTTCAAGGAAACCCCATTAACTGTTTAATAATGGTCAATCCAATGACAATTTGCAACTGTTTTTGAACAGTTAGCAGTTGAGGTAGCACAAAAAGACGAGTTTAAATGGAAATCTGTAAGAGAAGATGAAAAGAGAAGAAGAAAAGAAAAGAAGAGAAGAGAAAAGCTGTTTTACTGATTAAAAAGCTTTGATATCTTGATATTGACTTGTCAAACAGGGAATGTAAAAGGACCACAATTTTGAGCCAAATAACTTTGTTATTGTTGTTGACACTCACAGTGTGCAAACCAGTGCAACACATTCAATGTTCAACTTTAGTCTTAAAAATCAACTAACTTTGCCTATTTGCTAGCAATCTTTCAGGTCTCAATCAAATGTCTCCCACGTTGAGCAACGGCCAATGTTCAACACAAAACACGGCTTTGCACATAAACAGACAGGCACAATAAGGGTCATCAAAAAGGACTTATCAGGGCAACTTATTATATCCATATTAGAAGAGGACAAAAATATATTTATATGTTCATCTAAAGACGGATTAAAAGCTATCATCGAGACTACGCTTCCCTTCATTTGGACACATTTTACACTCTTCTAAATGCTGGGCGTTCTTGGTCCAGCTTTACCCATATAATGTATCCAACTATGTACAGAGCTTAGCTTGTCCTTTTACCTTTTGTGTTACTTTTTGTCTGCTTTTGTCTATTATATTGTGCTCATTGTATCACTGGATTGACAATATTATTATTGTAATAATAAAGATACAATTGATTTCACTTGGCTCTTTTAGATGAACGATAACAAGAGCAAATTTTGCGCTTTCTTTTTTGCTCTCTTTCTTTCCTTTGCCAGCTTTTCTGGCCTCATCATGTCAACTTATGATCCATCAGATCACATAGTTTTTTGTTATCGTACTCTCTGTATGCAACTATATTGGGGTCACTTTATTATTAAACTTTTCCAAGTTAACCTTCCCAGCCAACAACTTCATTCAATATCAATTTTTTGCTCATTGTAATCTAATCAAGTGGTCTTTAGTGTCGAGCTTTAAACGTTAGTTTTCTTCATATCGCACATTTACACTGTACATTGAATACACACTGAAAGTACCAATCAACTGTCAATCAATTTTCCATTCTTCTTCTTATTCCATCTTCAAACTTATTGATCAAAACAGAAGCTGTGATGATCAGCTAAGAGTGATTCATGAAGAGATTCACAGTTTGAAGGTGATCACTTTTTTAGGTGAAAAGAGAGAGAAAGAAAAGTGAAGAGAAAAATTTCAACTTTCAATCTTTCATTGACTTTTTTTGTCTCCGATTGTTACATGAAATGTGCATCTCAATGAGAAAAGCTTGTTTTTCATTGGAACAGGCTGCGCTATGAAAAGACAAAAGTTAATATTGAAAAAGGTTTGACCAAGAAACGATGATCAAATCAATTGTAAAACAATAATAATTTACTCAATGGTTAAGCTTTACGCTTTTAACCTACTTTAGGCAGATCACTGAGAGATTCAGTTTCATTGTTGTTTTCACAACTTTTTTACTGAACAAGTAAAGAAGTGAAAAAAGTGTTTCCAGGTAAAGATCAATACAATGTATTGATGAATGGTGAATAAAGGTGAGGTGAGATTTCAAGGCAAGACTCGAGTCGGGATGAGTTGAGGTAATAAGGAAACAATGGAGCTTCTTGTTAACCTCTTTTTCCCTCTCAGATCAACTTTCATTTTTACTCTTTTCTTTCATTTGCTC